TGCCTTCCAAAAAGTATAACTTACCTGTCTTTCTAAGAGCCTTTGGGCATTTCCTTGGTAATGATCGCAATCTCCTTTTCTGTCATCTCAGCTTTGGTACTGGGGATCTTCGTTAAACACCGGGACACTCCCATTGTCAAAGCCAACAACAGGAACCTCACCTACATTCTTCTCGTTGCTCTCCTGCTTTCCTTCATTTGCACTTTCCTCTTCTTTGGGCAACCTGACCAAGGGAAATGTCTCATGCGACAAACTGCTTTTAGCATCACTTTCTCAGTCGCCCTTTCTTGTATATTGGGTAAAACAACCATAGTGGTTCTTGCTTTCATGGTTACCAAGCCAGGCTCCAAAATGAAAAAATGGTTAGGGAAAAGTCTGGGGAACTTCATTGTCCTTTCTTTCTCCCTGGTGCAAACAACAATCTGTGTTGTGTGGCTGGCACTTTCTCCCCCATTTCCAGATTCTGACATGCATTCAGTGGCTGAAGAAATTATCCTGGAATGTAATGAAGGTTCAACCACAATGTTTTATTTTGCCCTTGGCTTTATGGGGTTCTTGACTGCTGTTAGCTTCACCATGGCCTTCCTAGCTAGGAATTTACCTGACAGCTTCAACGAAACCAAATTTATCACCTTCAGCATGTTGGTCTTTTGTAGTGTCTGGGTATCATTTGTTTCCACCTATCTGAGTACGAAGGGGAAATACATGGTGGCTGTGGAGATCTTCTCCATTTTGGCTTCAACGGCTGGACTGCTGGGCTGCATCTTTTCTCCCAAATGCTATATCATTGTTCTGAGATCTGATTTAAATAAGAAAGAGCAACTGATAAAGAAATGAAACTTATTTTTATACCAGACCTCTTGAATGAAGTCAAACTGATTACTTTCAGCATGTTCATTATTTGCCGTTTGTGATTCTGCATTCTTTGCTCATATTGCCACATCAAGGTGACATACAAGGCAGTTGCTCTGACAATCTCTTCCAAGTTCACTTCAGAACCTAGACAGCTGCTCCTCATATTTTCTTTCAAATGTTACATAATTATTCTGAGCTCTAATCAGAATAGAAGGGAATAGCTAATCAAGATGAATACTGTATGAAAACCAGTTTTTAATCTCATAATATGCACTAATCTCAAAGTGAAAGAGTTCATGTCCTGCAGCCTAGGAGTGTCACAACACCCCTGCCAGAAAGGAAAGAAAAACCGTCTTCTCTATCACCCATAACACTGAAACATCCCTAGTGTGCATGGTGCCAAAGGTTTACCCTTTTTTTTTTTTTTTTTTTTTTTTGATATTGCTAAGGGAAAAAATGGATATTTGTGATGTATCTGTCATTTAAACCCCTCCCAATATTCTCCCTAATGATGATTTAAATGTACAGGAAAATCCCCACTAATATTCCCTGCCTCAAATATGAAAATTTGTGAGTTAAGTTGGTGTAGTGGGTCGGGTGCTGGGCTAGAAACTGGGAAACCAACGAGTTCTCGTCCTCCCTTAGGCATGACAGCCTAGGTGATATATTGTGGGATCTGAGGAAAGAAATTGCTTGAATATGGTATTTGAGAATTGCCTCTCAGCTTCCCGGATGTAATTTACCTTGTTCAGGATGACAACTGACCTGCGTTTGATATTATGTAATTATGCTGTCACTGTTATTCTTCTGCCTTTGATGACATCTCATTCTGCACTGTTGATATTATTGCAAAAAGTGAGGGTTTTCTTGTTTTTGGTTGTTAAATGATGTTTCCCCCATCTCCAATAAAAAAAACAACAATATGCATTATGGCTCTTTAGGTCATGATCTTCTCTGACTTGGAGAAGCAGGAGAGCTTCTGCAAGCTTCTGTCAGCAGAATGTCAGGATTCTGGGAAGAATCATCTACTTGGGACTGACTCACTTAGCCAGATAAGTGACTGACTCACTTATCAGCCAGATAAGTGACTAACTCACTTATCAGCCAGAGAAGGTACAAGGGAAGACAAGGGCATCAAACACAAACAGCCACCAGCCTGAGGACATTTTGAGAAATTTGGAGAGACAAGCAGACTCCCACTAGTTGGCTGCTTAAAAAAAAATGAGGTCCACAGCTTAATTGAGCCCCCCTCACTTTCAGATGCTGGCCCTTGCATCAATCTCAGATTCATGCTGTAGTGTAGGTGAATCTTATGTGCTTCCAGAACCTCAGCTCTTTAACTGCAGAATGGCTGAATAACCTCCATGACACCTGGACACTTGGACTGTTCTAGTATGCACTTAGTCATGCTGTGACTCAGCTTTGGACTAATCTCTGTCCAGCAAGACCTTTCTCTCCCAGAAGTGCTGCTGGAGTGTGGGTGCTCTGGCACATGCTGGCTCTCTGCCTACCTTTCAAATTAGCTGCTCTCAACTCAGAATAAATTATTGGCAACCTAATTCTGCATGTGTGCAGAGACTGAAACATGACAATGTAAAACAATGATAAAGAAGTAAACTCAAGTGATTCTACACACTGTAACTTCAATATGTAACAATTTTCACCTTTTTCAGTTTCACTTTTAATAGTTCAAGCGGCACTTTATTGTTTTTTATTTATTTGTTTGGGTTATTTGTCACTCCAATCATTATCAACTCCAAGCATGATACATACTTGACATTTATAACTATGGTTAAAATAATATAGTAATTGCAGTGATAAACATAAAAACTATCTGATACTTATACCCCAAGAACCAATTGTCATATTAGCCAGACAGCCCATTATAAGAGGGAACAGCATTACAGCATACCAACCCCCAAGGTCTACAGGAATAGCCAGGGGTTCATGGCTTTCCTGAATTCCAGTTGGGTTGGGGCCATACAAATTTCCAGGGGAATGCTGTTCCACAGATGGGAGAGAGCAGCTGGAAAGGTCCTCTTTACTGATGGCATTTCCTAAGAGAAAAAATTTGGCATTTCCCCCTCCCCCCAAAATTAAGTGGAATTAATATGATAATTAATATTAAAATAAAAGGGAATATTTAAAAAGCTTGATGGTGAAAGCAATCATTGTAGAAATTCAACTCATTGTTGCATTCAACTGGGAGTATCCATGTAATTTTTGTGTTGATGTGTATGTGAGATCTTTAGTTATATATATACCTGGTAGATATTGGGTTGACAGTAGTTACTGTATATGTCTGTGTTTGAGTCGTCTCTTGAAAGTATTTTTAAGCATGAAGAGGCCAAAAACAAGAGAGACAGAGAGAGAAGAGAAAGAGGAGAAAGAGAAAGAAAGAGAAAGAGGAAGAGGAAGAGGAAGAGGAAGAGAAGAGAAAGTGAAAGTGAAAGTGAAAGTTTCAAGAGACATGATATTTTGTACGGGTTTAGTAAGGCCATAAAAATATGACCCCCCCCCAAAAAATCAGTGGAATTAATATTAAAATTAATAATAAAATAAAAGGAAACATTTAAAAAGATGTCAGTAACAGAAGTAAACCAAACAGGTACAATCCCTCGTGTACCATTTTGTAACCCTGAAGCCTCACAGAACAAAGTCCTTTCCACCATAATAGTAGAACATCTGGAAATGGGGGCATCTGCAAGAGGGCCTGTCCTGGCCATTTAAATGCTTTAACTCCATAACTTTGAGTAGAAAAATATACTTTAGAAGATGTTCAGTGCTTTATGCTCCCTTTATTGATCTCAGGTATGTCTGTGACCTAGTATCCAGACCTAAATTATGGGAGAAACTGAAGAATTCTTTTATAGACAGGTGGCTTCTTCTACTAATCTACAAACTGTATGAAAAGTCCTGTATGACGGTGTGATGCAAGGGGCACTATACAATGGAATAGACACTATACAGTGGGAATTCCAGTCAGAATAGGTATCCGACAAGGTTGCATTCCGCACCTTTATTATTTAATCTGTTCATTAATTGTCTTGTAGCCAAATTGAATAATCCAGCCACTCATCCTCCAAAACTGAGTAGTAGACATGTTTCAATTCTCCTCTGGGCTGAAGATGCAGTACTTCTCTTACAGACCCAGCCTGACTTGAAACAGTGCTCTCTGGGCTTATTTGCTGCTGCAAAGAAATGCTCAAAAAGAGTTGCTCTGGAGCTAAGGTCATGGAGCCTGTCAAGCTTCCCAAGAACTATGGGTGGCAATCAAATAAACAGGTTCAATCTTTCAAGTATTTAGGTATCTACAAGCCACCAGCAAGTACAAAGTACCATATCTGGAGAACAAAAGAGGGCAGGAGAGGGGCACTCTAAAAATGGAAACCTACACTTTTGGTGGAGAACAAGTCCCCCATAATAGGCTGAAGTCTCATCCCTGAACTCCATTTCCTATTGACTTCCTCTTGGTATATTTTCAGCAGGGTCTTTCTCATTCAATCCTTTCTTGAGATTAGGGACATTCCAGTAGTTTATCAAAAGCATTCTGGTGTAAGGGTCATATTGTAATTTGCAATATTCCTTTTATCTTTCTTTCTTTATGATAACCAAACAATCCTAATCTGTAGCCTTGCTTGGCTCAGGGCTGTTCAGCAGTTCTTTAGGGAGGAACCCATTGATCACTGTACTTTGTGCATGCCAGTAAAAATATACTTTGTTGCATATATCTCCAGCTGCTTTGGTTTCTTATTTATAGTGAGTAGTTTTTCACAGCATAAGCTATAATACCATCTTCCACCTTAGGTACTGCATTCAGCAGAGGGGTAGACAAACAACCTCAACAGATGCATTTATCGTTTTACAAAGAATAGTTCTGAATATAGTTATAGATATGTTTCTGCCCAACTCTCATAATAGAAAAGTTCCAGATTTTTCTTCTCTTCTACATATGGTCCTCCCCCTCCATTTTCTACTTCATAATTTAGTCTGCAAAGTTCACAAGAATTCAGTAGTGTTTACTGAGAATTGCTAAACATGTTTTCTTTTGACATTTTGCAAAGAAATTGCTACTTTAAGTAAGTCATTATCTCCCCTGTAATGATCAAATTAAGTATAGTAACTAACCTCAAGGGAATAGCCAGATTAAAACCTTACATTAATATCTACTCAGAAATACAGAACTGGAGGTAGAGACAGAAAGAAGGATTCATGTACTTGAACTCTTACTGTCTTCATTTTATGTTCTATTAATGAATGGTTAGTTAATTCAGACCCTGCTCCTCAAAACCTATTGAATGGTAGCATAGGAGCCATTGTTGGGGGTCTAGAATTTTATATATTTATATATTTTATATATTTTATATTGAGATGGTGATATTCATTGGAGTGGTTTTAGTGTTTCTTCCTAAGGTGATGTGCATTTTTCCTCTCCTCATCTGCAACTTCAGTGGTCCTCTTCCAATTGTTCACAAGTATTATCAGTCTGGAGATTTCACCATTGCTGCCATTATTCATCAGCTCTTTTTTTTTTCCTCCCAGATCACTTTTCGAAGTTTTGCTTCTCATGAATTGCTCGATCAGTATCTGTAAGTATTTTCATCATCACCTCCATCATCATCTTCATCATCATTATCTTGAAATCTAGATATCAAGAATATCTAGATGATATTCTTTAGTACTATTTTGCTTCTTTCACTTCTTGTGCTCAAATGTGTTGGTTATACTACTGCTATTAGCAACTGCCATATTTAGGCACTTCTGAATTCCAGGGCACTGTGAGGACTCTTCCAGTGTTTTTAGGCAAATATCAAGAGGAAAAGTAAAATAGAACCAACAGCCTGGCATCACATTTTGCCTCTTTCTCTGAATATGGCCTAAAGAGAAAGACTGGAATTATTATAGTGGAAGATCTCTGAAGGGGATCCACAAGGATGCCATGGATAAGGAATGCAAACACTCTGTGAAATTCAGGATAAATA